CTCGTTGTCTTGAAGAATTCCTATTCTCTTAAAACACCATTTTATCTTGTAAAGCAAATGTCAAAGAGAATGCACTAGCTTCCTCATCTTGTAGGTAAGGGAGCCCAGTGAAGCCACGGGTAAGCTTTCTTCGGCTAACCGGCAAGATGCAGATTTCAGTCTACCCCAGCAGCTCCATGGGAGAAAGGTCTGGCGGCCTGCTTCCATAAAGACTCAAATCAAAACAAAATCCATTTGAACTCAGAACAAACCTACAGAACAGAGTAGAACTGCCCCACGGCGTGTCCCAGGGTTCCATCTTTACAGCAGCAGGCTCCCATGTCTGTCTTGAGTGGAGAGATGGTGAGTTCCAATTGCTGACCTGCCTGTTGCCAGCCGAGATCCTTAACCACCAGAAAAATTACAGCCCAGAAGGCCTCTGAGGCAGTGCTACTCTGTCACACGGAGTCACGACGAGTGGACATCATCTTGTTGGCACCCGACACCACAACAGTATCTTGTAGTAAAGACCCAGTGGATACAGCACAACCTGTAATCGCTTGTTGTGAGCAGAAAGTAGCTCAGTACTGAACATCTTGTGGCATATAGATTATGGGCCTGTATACTACTGGAGATAGTAAAGCTTCCCACTCAAGCAGTCCAACTAAAGTTTCACCTCACCCTCCACATGAACAGCTTCTTCTTTAAACCCTAACTTCACAGAAGTAACTCAGAATTTACACTTTACACAGATGTAAGAAATGGCTTCATCTTGCTTTAAACCCTCATTGCTATACGTGACACTGTGGCTCGCTGACTGAATAGGAGTATCAAGGACTGAATGATTCTTAGCCTTGCTTCAGTGTAAGAAAAGGCTGAGGGATTCTTCGATAATTTTAAGGTGGCACATGCACAAAGTAAAAGTGACCCTAATGAGGAATTGGCTGTGAGCAGGAGTTGGCTCAATCATTTGGACAATTTTATATATTTATTGCTTATATAAGTTTGAGCAAATTTATATAACACTAAAGCAAGGCTTCAGAAACACCATTACCCCCCACAAAGATGGCAGCCACGCCACCCCTTTGAGTAAGTGTGGCTTTTCACAGTCCCACCTGGAGCTTAACTGGATGCAAATTGTAACACTTCCGATCTGTTTTTGTTTCACTTGTGGGTCATGGCAGAAGCAATTCAAAGGCCTGCATTGAAGAACCAGGAGGAGCTGTCTGTAAACTGGGTGTGTGTAGCCCAGGGACTGCCTAAAACATAGCATAAAACAAGCCATGACAAATTTAAAGTAAAACAAAACATGTAGTCTGTGTTCCCAAACTACAATGGAGTCCAAAGGAAATCAGTAACAGAAAGATATTAGTAAAATCTCCAAACCCTTGGAAACTAAACATACTTCTAACTAACCCATGGGCCAAAGATAAAATCTCAGTGGAAGTTTAAAACTACACAAAACTGAATGAAAATGAAAATACACTTGAATAGTCATTTGTTTAATAGGGCTCCGCACAAAGATGCTTGCAATGAGACGAAGGTTAAAGATGTCCCAAATGACCAATGTTTCCAAACTAGAATACCAATGTATCATCTCCCAACATCAACTCTTCCTCTTCCTCTCAGTACTCTCCCTCCTGTATTGGGGTTCGGCAACGCACTGTCTTACAGAACTTGGACATTATGCTTACAGATAGTCATTCGCTAAAGAAATCATAGAGTACAGTTGAGGCTCAAAATCAACTCAGAAGTAAGCGGAACAACACAAGATGCACTTCCTTGATGAGAACAACTTCTTCTTTCTGTCACCAAGCTTTGCTGGCAACTTCCTTGGGCAAGTGTTACCACTCTGAGCTTCCTGGGTCAGGT